CTTCCCTTTCCGGCCACCTTTGCCTTTTCCCCCAGCTTTTGCGGAAATTGAAGCTCGAGGATTCCGACCAAAGTCTAATGGATCAATGCCACGTGCCGCCTGAGCTGTATTTACCACCTGTCCCAGCCCACCATAACCCTTGTGTATAAAACCTGGGTCCGAGCACAACTTGTCAGCCAAAGCCGCATCCAGAGCATGGTATTCTATGGCATACGGAAACATGTGGAAGGCGTCCTGGGGCCCGACATTCGAGTAATCAAACGACGAACTGTGGTGGAACCTCGCCAACGTGGTGGTATGAATACTAGCATGGGTAATAGCCTGCAGTAGTATGATTGTGTTCATCATGCGCTCATTGAAGCGTGCACCGAACTCCGCTTGTAGGGTTGGCAGCAAATCCGGCTGGACAAGCAATATGCACCTGAATTCGCCTCGGGATGGGAGATAAACAATCTGAGCCACGACCACATCCTCATGAAAGTCCTCAGGTGATTTGATTTGAAGCGAGGACAAGTCTGTTCGGAAAGTGTTTGAACCGTATGGAGCCGGCGTCAGATCTGAAAGCATGTCCAACAATGCGAAGTACGGCTGCCTTTCCAAGCGGGTGGAAAAGGGAACATCCCGTTCGATCCGGAGTTTTCGATCGTTGGCACGATCCTGGTAATCTCGCCAATAGCGTGCGCTTTTCCGAAATGCAATGAGAAACTCCCGACTGCCTTGTTGCTGTAAGAACACCACTCTCAATATGGCTTCATTGGAAGACAGAATATGACTCGAGCAAGACTGCACGACCTCATGGAAATCCATACTCGCAGCTTGGCATAAATATCTCATGTTGCCCTGAATGGACTTGTAGTTTGCAAAGGGTGGCACGTTGTGTAGAATAACGGTGCGGTGACAAATTTCCCCCTCCAGGTTGCTCAACTGCATCTGGTGAAGGTTGAGTGCTCGCAGTACACTAGGAGCTTTCTTGTTCGACACGGCGGTCAACGCATCTGCCAACATGTTGAAGCTGGGTTGTACGTGACGCTCATGGTAAGATTTCAAAGCCGTTTCCAAACTTGACCCTGTGATCTCAACCTGCTTCAACTCCTCATCCAACGACGGTGGGTTGTTCGGCGTAGGGATTTCGAGGTTGGGTTCAACAAACTCTCCACTCGGTGTTAGTCGCGCAGCTTTAGCTTGGCGTTTGAAGTTTTGCAAGGCCTTTTTGACTTCCGGCTTTTGCTCCAGTTCCCTGCGATAGGCTGGGTCCATGTCGCCCCATTCCAAACACGAATAATCCACTTCCTCCTCTTTGATCGGCCCGGCTGGGGCCAACCCAGTCAAACCGCTAATCTCCGAAAGGTTCGAAGTAGCAGAACGTTTCTTGACATCGAGCATAGCTTCAA